TCTGTTTGTTTTTGTTATGCCTTTGCTGGAAGAAATGACGTGGGCGGTAGCTGAACCAGCAGACCAGTAAGTAAGGGAATAGACGACTGAGAAATGATGAACAGCGATCAGATCACAAATTAGCAGGCGACAAGAACAGCAGGACTTGATCGAGGGGCAGGAGGTTCTGCGAGACCCTTATGGCCATCGGCATCAAGTCAAAGTAGTCAACACAGCCGCATCCAGACGAAGCGGCCCGATCTACGCTAACCCGCGATAGGCTTAGCGCGTATCCCACCTCAATCTCTGGACGAGAAAAAAAAGTTCCTGAACCCTAATCACCGATTCCCATCGAGCAACAGGCGTCTTTTTCATCCTGTCGCACGACTGGCTCGTGGACACATCTACCGAGATATTCACATCACAACCACGACAAAATGTCCAAAAGAGCTGCCGACGCGTCTGAGGAGCACTCCGCTGCCCTCAAGGCCGGAGAGCGGCCGGTCGCCAATGACATTCCGGATGAGGCGGGGGAGTTTGAAGATGAGTTCGAGGACGAATTCGAGAGTGAGGACGAGATTTTGGAAGCAGGCGTCGATGGGAGACCCGATGCCGAGCGCGAAGAAGAGGAAAAAGGTTTGTCAACCGGTTTTCTGTCGCTAGAATTGTTACTGACTGAAATGCGATCGCAACAGACGCTATGGAGGTTGACAAACAGACATTTATCCCTGGAAGAACAAAACTAGCTCCTGGAGAGGTACTATCTCCGGATCCGTCTACGTACGACATGTTACACACTCTCAGCACACCATGGCCTTGCCTCTCGTTTGACATTGTGCGCGATTCCCTTGGCGACAACCGAAAGACATACCCTGCGACAGTCTACGCAGTTTCTGGTACACAGGCGGAGGGAGGAAGAGCAAAGGAGAACGAGCTGCTGGTGATCAAGATGAGCGGTCTCAGCAAGATGGAGAAAGAGAACGAGACAGATTCGGAGAGCGATTCGGATTCAGATGATGATTCGGATGACCCGATTCTCGAGTCGAAGAGCATTCCTCTCGGATCAACAACGAACAGAATCCGCGCACACCAAACCCCTTCCCAGTCTGCCGACTACTCCAAGCCACCACAGACGATCACAGCGACGATGCTTGAAAACTCCCAGGTCGTCATTCACGATGTGACTCCTTATCTGACCAGCTTCGACGTCCCTGGCACAGTATTGCCTCCTTCGGCCGCCAAGCCCCTCTCGACCCTGCGCATGCACAAATCCGAGGGTTACGCTCTGGACTGGTCCCCACTCCAGCCCCTTGGAAAGTTGCTGACTGGTGACAATGACGGATTGATCTACGTCACTACACGCACTGAAGGAGGAGGTTGGGTCACAGACACCCGACCATTCACCGGCCACACATCTTCTGTGGAAGAGCTACAATGGTCACCAAATGAGCGCAATGTGTTTGCTTCCGCCAGCAGCGACGGAAGCGTGAAAGTCTGGGACGTCCGGTCAAAGTCACGCAAGCCTGCCGTCGACGTCAAGGTCTCCAACACAGACGTCAATGTCATGAGCTGGTCGAAGCAGACGTTCCATCTCCTTGCCACGGGTGCTGATGATGGACAATGGGCGGTCTGGGATCTGAGACACTGGAAGCCGAATGCGTCCGCCCCGTCGTCACAGATCACAGCATCGCCAGTCGCAGCTTTCGACTTCCATCGTGAGCCCGTCACCAGTATCGAGTGGCACCCCACTGATGACAGTGTTGTTGCTGTCGGTTCTGCCGATAATACCGTCACCCTCTGGGATCTGGCCGTGGAGCTTGATGAGGAAGAGAGCCGCGAGGCTGGCCTGGCCGAAGTGCCTCCCCAGCTGTTGTTCGTTCATTACATGGAGTCTGTCAAGGAGGTTCATTGGCAGGCTCAGATGCCTGGTACCATCATGGCGACAGGCAGCTCTGGATTCGGGTAAGTCCTTGGTTGAAATCGTTCTTTGTTGTATGACATAATGCTGACTCCTTGCAACAGTGTCTTCAAGACTATCAGTGTGTAAATAATCGGCATGCGCATGTGGCACTTGACCTTCTTGAAACGACGATACCAACAATCTTCTACGCTGTCATATGATGAACATATTTATAGATTCTTACATAGGGTAGTACAGCCGGGATTGAATGAATGATTATGACGTGTATCAACGAATCTCTATCCAGGATCGACTACTCTCTTTGGAATGGCGCTCAAAGGTGTCAACTTGAGATCGTATCTGAGCCCTTTACAGCTATAGCTGCGAATTGCTCTACCTTCAAGTAATTGTAAATTTTCCAGTTAAGTGAGCAATTCTAAACATTTGATGCGGCAGTAGTATATATATCGGTATGGACAGCCGCTTCACTCTCCCTGTGCCAATAATTATAGGATTATAATGACGATATCTGACAACTCCCAAGATGAAATCGACTACTACGACAATCCAATAGCAGAACGTGTAATCCATTGCTGCAACGGTCGAGACAATTTGGTAGTGGATTTCTGGGGAAATGCGGGCGAACCAATCATTGGCAGGGTGTTCTACTAAGATGCGGGGAAGCCTGCGACTCCACAGAGGCCCCGTGATTCCAGCAGCTAGCTGGCTTGATCTATTCTTTTCGCGGATGCCGTTGAAAGCGTTATCAGACGGCATATCTTTAAATTTGACCTGAAGACTGACAACCACGCCTTGTCCATGTTGCCGTCCGCCCCTGGCTTTGTCCCCGCAGAGCTCAGCGCTCAACGTCATTCACCCCGTAATCGACCATGAGAATCGGAAGGGGCTGCGAGCGCTGTCGCCATCGTCATATTCGGTGCACAATTCGGAAAGGAGCATCGTCTTGTAATCCCTGTTCGCGCTTGGGACGGGTGTGTCGGCTCGATCCGCCGTTTCGGTTTCGGACTGTTCATCACGTCTATCAGAAGAGCCATGGCACAGCGTCTAAATTCGACCTCGTGTGGGATCCGCATCAGACTTGGGTGAAGACACCTACGTCATGTATTTCCTTCACTTCCTTATTTAACACTTGAGGGTGCTAATGATATCAGTGACATTCGTTCTTGAATCGGCAGATGATTCAGCAGAAGGGGAAGAGACAGATGCGCCGCAAGACTCTCACGATGAAGCACCGCCTTCACAACAGATTCCGGCAACACCTAGTGCTGTATTTCCGGATATATCATCTCTACTCATTCCAGGGCCAACAAAGCCTTACGAATCAGTGATTGAAAACCACCCGCTAGACCTCCCAGCACCGACCCCATCGATACCGGACGAAACCCAACTGATACTTCCCTCATCTACTGCCATCTCGCCAAATGCACTGAATAGCATCGTGTCTCCTTTGCCATCAACAGCGTGGACAGATGTGACATCCCAATGGAGTCCGATAAGCCCGCGGGCGATCACTTCGCCGAAGTTGTCCTCCCGGGAGGCATACTTGTTACGTTCATTCATCTCAAAGATAGCCCCTTGGGTATAGGAGGCCCCCACATAGATAGTATATTGATAGTACATTCTGACTCTGACAGACCGACATATGCGACTCGCGCTCTCATTTTTCAACCGAGGTACCACGCCGGGCATTGGAAGTGCCTATGGTCCTTAAGGCCGTTCTAGCTCTCGCAGCCAGACACGACGCCATCTTGTCAAACGCCAGCGACTGGGAAGCCACCGAATACCACGGCCAGTGTCTGGAGCTCTTGATCGCTGCGCTGGCGCAGCCGGAGGATACGTACGACGACAACCTCCTTATCACGGTCGTGATTCTCCGTATCTACGAGGAACTCGAGAGCAACAACGACGAGAAGTACCATTTGTTCGGCTCAAACCGCCTCCTCAACACCATGTCCAGATCGGCGTCATCCGGGGGCCTAGCCGAAGCAGTGAGCTGGCAGTTCCTGCGGCAGGCGATATATGCATCTGTCGTCCAGCATCAACCTATGCAACTGGACCTGGAGAACTATGAGCGCTCGGCTGTGTTTCACCGGCGCGACGATGCTGCGTATGCCAATATTATCATCTACCTCTGTGCTCGGATTCTGCAGTGTGGAGGATCGCATACCCGTGGCATGGACGAGGAGACGTGGCGCCAACTCTCTGACAGCGTTGAGCAATGGCATCGAGCAAAGCCAATCAGTTGGCAACCGTTGAAGTACAAGCCGGCGAACATTGCAGAGAATCGACCGTTCCCTGAGATCTGGATGATGTCTCCGCCAGCAGGTATGTACCGTACCCGATGAACCGAAATGCGCTGACAGTCGCAGTGGTCGGAATGCAGTACTATCACACCTCCTGTATATTTCTCACACTGTCAAACCGACACTGGCAAGCCGCGAGCGACTACGAGCTGGCCCGTTCGCAACGTGTAGTAGAGGTAAGGTCGTACAGATATTGGGAAAGACCGCTACTGACGGGTTAGAATACAATCGCATCGCATCTTAACATGGTCATCGGCTTATCCATGTCAAATGAGACGGTCGAGAATGCATACTTTATGGCGTGCCATTTATTACACCGCTGTAAGTTTCTTTCTTGAGCTTTCTCGACCAAGCTGACCGTGGTAGATGGGTACTGCCTGCGACATCCTCTAGAACAACGCGGGTCATTGCGCTTCTTGGCCCATGTGGAAAAGACAGTGGGCTGGCGGACGAAATGGATGATACGCGAGCTGGAAAAACAGTGGAGTGAGCTGCGGGGACTGGACACGTGGGGAGAAAGCCATGACTAGCTAATGGAGTCTGCAAGACCACGTCCGTCCGCAGTTTGGTGGATTGGTCGTCTTTCTACGAGATGTATTATTTGAATGCCTGATTCAAGCGGGATCGCGTGGAATCAACACCCGGAAACTGAACGATGACATATAGGCACCCTGTCAGCCGTCATTGAACGCTTAATCTCATTCCTAGAGAATGATATCCCTTGCATTGTATCGTCGCTTATCGCTCAATAGAAGCATTATGCATCCGTATGTGATGTTATGACAAGAGCACCCCAACTAAGCAGAAATACTCTTGATCATCTCTTCCAACTCCCTCACATTCCCACCAACAACCCTCTTCTCCAGAGGCTGCCCATCCTTATACAGCACAAACGTCGGCATCGCCCGGATATTCATCTCCTGCGCCACAGAGCGCACCTTGTCGACATCGACCTGGATGAATCGCACATTGGGGTACGTCTCGCTTAGCTTGCCAACAACAGGTGCAATCGCTTTACACGGACCACACCAGGTGGCGAAGAAATCGACGACGACGGGGCCGGAAGAGGTAAGGGCCTTGTAGATGACCGGACTTTGGGTATTCTTAGTGATTCTGCTTCTTGATCGGGGTTATGGAGATTATTACTTATCCACAGCAATTACTTTGCCGTGCATGGTTGCGGCGGGGCTGGAGAAGAAGCGGTTGTAGATAAGGCGGATTGCTATCGGATTAGTGAGAAGGGTTGCGAGGGGCAAGGTCGTGGGAGTGCTCACCGATGTAGACAGCGAGAGCGAGGATAATGCGGGAGTAGTCCATGATGCTGATAGAAAGTGGTTGAACAAAGATGGGTCTGTTGACTGGAGGGGAAGATGCCGATGTGCTATGTCGATTAGTAAGCAATGCAGTTAAGCATAAAACTAGTTATGCTGCAGTAGCGAATGACTGCCCAGAGCTACTGTTTCGAGAAGTTATCAAGACCGATCCTCCTACACTACAAGAAGACATTACTGTCATTATCGTGACTCTCGATAATCCATGCGGGAATATGAGCATCAGCACTCAAGTTTGATAAAACCGTATAACGAGAGTTGACAATCCTGTTGCCTGTTAACGTGATCCCATCTCCATCAACATTCTCGGCACAGCTGTCTCTCTAATTTCTGGCTATTAATAGCGCCAGACAGATCAAGGATACGCATTGCTCTAGTAACTGCTCGCGAAGACGACATACCTCGGATCCATGAGCAGCAGTCCTCGTAAATCCCTTCTGTTGGCTAGCCCATTTATTGAATACTGTGAGCACTGCTTCAGCACTATATCTAGTACTGTCTATCTGTCTACTGCCGTGTGTTATTGATTGGATTACACACGCCAGACTTGGCATCACAACGGACACTGGCAGTGTCTTGCGAGGTGCTCCGATAGGGTGTGAGAGATTCGTTTGTTGTGAAGTCACAGAAGTACCTGGCGAGAGTGAAACACAAGATCATTGCAGATTGTCTTGGTCGAAGATTGCTTGATGGAAAGGAACTCAAGGATCAGGCATCAGCATAATGCTCAGCGAATATGTCCCGCATCGTCTACACTGTAGGACATGGGAGAAGCGGACCCTGAGAAGAACTAGTTGTCTTTAGTTCTCAAGAGCATGGGCTCAGCCACAGCCGGTCTCAGGGCCTGCATTGGTTTGTTGTTCTTCAGGACGGTTATCTACTTCTTGGTCAATGGTAGATTATTGTTGTTCATGATGCTTCTGAAATTCCCGAGATCTGATATCCCACTCTGAGGCATACCGGATGAGGCTGGACGGAGGCGGAGTAAGGAATCAGCAGCTGCCTATCAAGCGCGGATTGATTATGACATCTCCATAGTTGTATGCCAAGTAGACAATAAGCAAATGTACAGATTTTATTGCCAGGGCACAAATGCTTTAATACGTGATGCCAGTCATTTCTTCCAACATTAACATTAACATGACGAACGTGCTATATGCCATTTCGAGTATGCGAAATATCAAATCATCTATACGGTCGTATCCAGCAATGTACATAAAACCCAGCTAGGTCCGCGCCCTCACTGCCTGCAGTGTCTCCCCATTCGCCAACGGCCCACACCACCCATACACATCACACCGACACTGCTCAAAGCGCGGACAATAAATATCCTCCATGCCAAACACCACATGCCAGACCTTCTCAAACACCCACCCCACCCCAAAGCTATCCGTCAGTTCCGTCTCCGCCGCCCAAGCCAACATGCGCTCATAGTCCCGCTTCGGACGCTGCAGGATGCGCTCCCTGGTGACCGCAAACTGCCCGCAGCAGACATTCCCGATATGCTCGGGGACGCGCTCCTTGCCGACGCCAAACAGCGTCTGGTACACCTGGGGAAAGTACGCGCGGATATCCTTCTTATCGATATCGATCTGCGTCGGGGACCAGGGATGTACGTTCGTCGGACAGCCTGGGTCGTGTTCGCAGCGGAGGTTGACGTAGCCTTGTGCGGCGACGGCTTCAAGGCGGAGATTGTGCAGCGCGACGCTGGTTTTGGGGCCGAATAGGTCGTTGTGCCATTGGTCTTGGTTGGAGTGGATGAAGATGGTGTAGGGTGGGAGTTGGTCGTAGAAGTCGACGACGTAGGAGAGGTAGGCCGCTGCTTCGCGGCCGCGGGTGGTCTGGGGGACGAGGAGGTGCGGAGCGGGTTTGTTGTCGGTGCTGTAGATGAAAGGGATGGCGTCGCTGTTTTGTTTCTCGAGTATTATTATATGGCTTGGTTTAAAGGAGGTGGAAGGCGAGTACAACGTACTGTTCACGGCAATAATCCAGCAGCCAGGTGAGATCTTCCGACTGTGTGGCGGCTAGTACCAGCGCGATCGTGCTGTTGGATGAGTATGACTTGGTGATGTCGGCGAGTTGCTGTGTCACTGAACGGTGGTTCTCGAAATCTAGCCAGTCAGTGTGGCTGCCTTTTTGAAAGGGTTGCAAACTCACCGTCAGGCTCCAGCGCGAAATCTCCCCGACGATACAACATGAAGGTGAAGAGCCAAAGACAGATCAGCGCTGTGCAGGTTGTGATTGCTGTCCGCCGGGCCGGCCATCTGGACAGCCGTCGTTTTGGCATTGAATCTGTTTTCAGCGGCAATGTCTGCTTCATAATCCAGGAGGATCAAGGGAGAAGACAGTGCAGGGGACAGGAATCGTCCAGGGTTCAACCGAAAGAAAATTCAAATAAGAACGACCGACAGGTCAGCTAGCGCTTATGCGAGGGCTCATCGCCATAGTCATCCTTGTCATGCAGGACCAACTACAAGTGTGCATTTTTATCATTGTCAAGACCGGTTTAGTAACCGCCCTTTGCCTACTGCGTAATGGGTACTTGGAAGCTCCGTAGCACCAAGGAAAAATTGTTGGAAAAGCAACGCCGCATCCGCCAAGTGGCCTGCCCCACACCTGGAATCCAATCTATTGGTGCAATCATTTCGCCAGCACCTGAGTTCCTGACCAGTCACGACGGTGACGGGTCTGTTTCTCGCATTTTTACTCGTGTACCTTGGGCGATGATCGACGCGGTTAATTATGATTGGTCAAAAGTTAATGTTCAAAGCCACGGCGCCCCATCTTGAAGCTTCCTGATTCAGTTGGATCGGACGGGTCCATGAGATGTACAGCCTCACCCAATCACGTCAGGGCCGTTGTGCCTCAATGCTACCTTGATCTTGCTGACTTTAGAAATATCATCAAGAGAAATGCGTTGAAATTAACCGATGAGAACTGAATTCTCTGGAGATCTTGAATGAGTTATATGCTATCACTCTAGGCTCGCTTTAGGATTTCGATCGAGTGAGCTTCAACCACCATGTCAATTCTGGCTTAGCGGCGTATTACGGCAACATGAGCCTCATTCCATTTTCGGAATAGATAGAATGAGTCTCCAAGGCACGGACCCTGTTATTTAATAGTAATGTCTCAAACCTCAATATCGATATATTAAGTGGCCTCTAAACTTCTAAGCCTCCCCAAAACCTCTTCCCTGAGCATTGTCCCCCTCCCCGTGGATACGAACCCAGAGGCTCAGATCGGCTGTCTATGCTTCTACCTGAGTCGACGCATGTATAGATCATTAAAAAAAGCTTTTCCCTGCGAGGCCACGCCTTCTGAGTTCTGACCCGGATACTTTGTACAAGGCCATGATAGAACTACTGCGCTAGTGACTAGTCATAATAAGCCACAGGGTTACATCGTTCTGTAGCTATTTGAGCATCAAATCAGTATGGACTATGGAGGATGGCATGACACAGATAGAACATTCTGCGATTGTAATTTCCAGAAAACCGTGTCTATATAAGCTCATGAGAAGCACAGTGGCGTTTCCACCTGATGATCAAAATTCATGTAGATGAGCAGCGGTGAGAGCCAAGAGAGAGCAAAGACAAGCCCAGAGAGTTGTGCATTGATATTGATTTATTTTGCCTCTGGATGTTCAACCTAGGTGGAATGGCACAGGGTTTGGGGGCCAGACGCGACTACCTTAGAATTAAGGTGATGTGTCTTAGTTCCAGCCCATGTTAACCGTTTTGAGTACTCCGTAAACAAGGCCGTCCGGACTCCGGAGTGGATTTTGCTTGGAGGCAGGCATCTTAAGCGAACTTTACCCAGAAGGGTGATGGTCATGTGACATCTCCAAACGTCGATTTGCTGCAATCTCACATGTTTCCTCTATCATTAGTCTTTCTCATATCATAATGAGAATGCAAAGCCTTTCCCTTGCTACCGCAGTATGTGAGTTATCATAATTACTAGTTCAAACTACGCTGAGGAGAAATACTAGTTTAGGGAGAATAACCAGCTAAGCATCGTATGATTGTTAACACGATACATAGGGTCCCGCCAAGGTTATTTAATAATCATCAACATTACATGTACACACTGTGACCCATGGTACATGATATTGCGCTGTCTGAGTTTTATTGGCTCTTGCGTGATAATGCCTTGCAGCCTTTGCTTCAAGATGTTATAAATGAGGCTTGATTAAGTAGATAGCAGAGTTTGTATGATCGCAGACGGTTCCCCGTCTGCGGCTGTGATCGGAGACCATTGTGGCTGGATTCAGGATGAGTTCGACAACAACGTTGAAGGATTCTGCTGTCGTCGTTGCGAACATGCGTACCTGTCTCAGCTCCTGAGCGCTGGTGACCAGTTGGAGAATACGGTCCTGCGCTTTCCTGCGTGCACGGGTGCTGTCACGGATATGGAGACTGTCACTCCTGGCCGTGCAGCGCAGTTGCGCATGGTTATGGACAAGCAATACTACGCAAGCAGTAGCTGGGAAGCCATCTCAAGCAGAGGCAATGATGTCATATATTTCGATTCACACTCTCTGTTTGAAGGCGATCGGTCCTGCCAGCCCGGAAATGGCTATCGCTATTCGTGGTTTTTGGTTCCCATGAGGGCCGACGCCCTGGACGACGGCACAGTCGTCCCCACGACGCAGCCTCTTTCAACTGGAGAGGGGGTGATAGACCTGAGGACCTACTGGAAGACGTGCCAGCTAACGGGCTCGGACCCGTGGATTGACCTCATCTGTGACTACTCTATCGCCATGCGCAGTGGGACTCTTCCTGACTTTGGCACGTCGGGCCTTTACGGGCCCTCCCCCAGTACTACCATGGTGGTCCGAGGGATTTTTGAAAGGCCATGCGCCCAAAGACGATGGGTCACAATGCCATTTCAAAGGGTATCTACAGCCTTCTTAGTACATTTGCTCCTTGATGTCTCTAAGAAGCAAGGAATGGAATGCTTGAAGTATAGTTTATAACCACCATGTATACAGCATGAGAAATTAGATTTGGCAAACAATCTTGTTAAAGGAAGAATTTCAATAATCATCAGGTTTCTGAGCAGTGTACTTTCTCATCCACTCAATCACAGTGCGATACCAAAGCAAATTATTTTCCGGATTTATAATTGGATCACCTTCGTCCGGAAACACCAAGAGCGCACTATTCACGCCTCTGAGCTGGAGAACATTAAAAGCAGCTAATGCATCAGCGATGACTCTTTTGTAATTCAACTCACAGTGGATGACCAAATGTGGAGTTTGCCAGCTCGCTGTAAATTGTGCTGGATCCCATTTCCTCCACTTATCAGGAGTTTCCCAAATAGGTCCTCCAATTTCGTTGATAAAATGCTGCCGATTGCTAGCTAATTGCGAGGTCATACTAAAAATTCCATCATGTGTCACCAGGGCCCTGAATTTACGGCCAAACTCGTGGCCTTGGATCCAGTTAACCATGTATCCCCCGTACCCAGCACCAACCGCGACGGCGCGAGTAGTGTCGATGTATTGAAGGCTCTCATTTTGTTGCAGATATTCAAAGCCTCGCTCAAGGTCTGTGTAAGGTAGCCCTCCCCAGGAACATTGGCTGGAATCTTTGAAAGCTTGCCCAAACCCAGAGCTTCCTGCCTGGTTGGGCGCAACAACAACAAAGCCATGCTCTGCAAACAATGCCAGATTCCATTGGACACTCCACTGGTTGTTCCATGCACCCTGGGGGCCGCTATGGATGAAGTACGCCAGTGGGTATCGTTGCTGTGGGTCGAAGTTGGATGGTTTGATCACCCAGGCATGGATTCTGCGATTCCCTGTGCTATCGAACCAAATCGAATTGACTTGTGCCTTAGAGAGCCCCAGATCTATTGCGCGACTTGCAGACAATACCTTTGGAGACTCGGTCGGAGCGGCTAGGTCAAAGATATTCCATGTAGGGGTCTCGACTAAGCTGCTGTGAGTGATCAGAATTCTCGGTGAATCTGATCGCACCGGTGTTACATGCGCAATAGATCCAAAACGCCATGGATCAACCAGACTTAACGCCGCAGGACGCAACCCCTCCCAGTAACGGCCAAGTTTAAGGTGATATAGCATCACGCGCCCACTCTGCTCTGTCTGGATAAGAAGCGTACGGTTGTTCCCAAATGAGATGGCGCACGGGCTAAGATCCCATAGTCCGTTGCCATCAGCAGATGCGAATACCTCATACACATCATAACTTCCTGGAGCCGGTATGTATATGATGCGATTTTTGTCTGCCTTGTTTCCATCTATTTTCTGAGATAGGAAGGCGATTGGTCGATTTTCATCTGACTTGTCCACTGCAAGTGACGATATTGCCCCTCCTAATCCCTTATACCGCCATACTTGATAGATAGGGTCTCTGTTCTGTTTATCCCAGCGTTCCACGGGTTGGTAATAGCACGAGCATGCTGTATGAGTAGCACTGTTGACTTCTCTGTCCCTGGCAACAAATACCATGGCAAAGGGGAGAATTTCAAATTCACGTGAGCTCTCTTCCCCTCCCAGAGGTGAGATGGGCGACTCCAACCCCTCTAGTCCCGCAAATATCATGAGATTAGAGATTCCTGAGATACTATACCGACTCCCTGGCCTAGATTCTCTTTGCAGAAATCCATACCAGATGGAGTTCTTTAATCCGCTTACATACGAACTTTCATCTCTCACAGGGAAGGTCGGGTAGAAACGGCCAGTGCTGTGGCCAGTGAATTCCGCGATTTGTTTTGGATTGACTAGAGAACCATCTGGATTCGCCCTGCCACTGATCGCAAACGCAAGTTCATTCTCGTCGTCCTCTCGGAACGGCAGCTGCCCGGTCACCTTAAGGTCAAAGGCTTGGCCGGGGACTGTGCCGGCTTTATAGTTCTCAGTGGTCTTGCACTGTGCGTCGCCGACCACCAAGTCAGTGTTTCCGCTTTCCAGCCATTCAAGCCATATCAGCTGATTACTTCTTGATACCCATTGAGGTGATCTGGCGTTGGGATTCTCAGTGACACAATACGATCGACCAGTCGCAAGATCCACAACGCGGATCTCCTTCTTCTCTGTTTGAGAGCGAAAAGAGTACGTGCTTTGAGTATACACTGCAAGAGTGCCCGCGGCATTTGGAGTCGGGTTTGAGCGCCTAGGTGCCTCGAGTACTGTCCTGCGAAAATTGTTATGCTAAGCGTAATCTAGAGGGAAGTCTGAAAGGTGGACTTACTCCGAAGTGAGACTCATCATGACCATAGCGCAGCAGTTGATGATCTCCTGACTTTGGGATAATTAACATAGAGAGTAATAGAAGTCGCTCTGAGGTAAAGTCGACACTTGCAGAGGCGGCCAGAACGGCTAAAGGCCCCTTATCAGTAGCTAGGGAAAGGCACTAAATGATGAATCAACCCCTCATTGATTAATCTATGCTGGAAATTCGAATATACAGACGTGAGGGGATTATGCGGCCAATCATATATCTCTAACCTCTGACTCAGTAAGCACTACTTTCAAAGAGTGGCTGCCTTGTAAATGGAGTGCGCCCACTTATCAGACATAGGTAGTCCTATGTAAGTCTTAAGCCTACTATCACAACATCTAATATGGAAGAATATAAGGTTTCAAATTTGATTATATCAAGCATAAAGCAGCGCCACTGTATAACTAGATATCAGCATTCTAACATATGTTTTGCTTCAACTAGTTCTAAAGTAGTTCTCAACTATATGAAGTTTCTCAAGTCTCAATCTGCTGAGTCGGCTTTAGAGGTCGAACTCCTCCATACCCTTATACCTGCCCCCGAGAGTATGCATTTCGTAATGAGCCTCGACTCTCGGATATCCTTTTATAAAAAGAACGACCTTGCCGGAGTCAACGTGATGAGGGGCCCCGAATTTGCACTCAAGGCCCTCATATATACTCCCCCAGCAACCCTTTTTCTTCTTCTTCTTTCTTCTTCTGCTAGGTCCTCCTCCTCAGTCGTAGGATTCTAGTTTGTCTTTTCTTCCTCTTTGGAATTCGCATCTTCCAGAGTCAAGTGTACCTTAGTCTCCGTTTGCCCACTCACTGTCAATGATGACTTCAAACTACACAGATAGTCAGCAGCATGGAAACTAATGTTATGTAGAAGAAATAATATACTTGATGATAAGGCGCCTCAATAGTATAGGTCTTATGCTGAAGCGTTGCTCTGCTGATCAGCAAGCTAGACGTTGCATGAGCTTCAAGACCAATAGCAAATGCTATTACAGAGAAGCCTAGATTTTTTATGAGCACTTCAGGATAACGTAAACTCCTCAAACAGTCTTACCCAAAAAATCTCTGAATTGCATTTTTTTTTTAATAGAATTACCTCACGCAAATAACTCTAAGATTATTTACCGCGTGAAGATATGGTAAAGCCGTCGAATGCAGCCTAGTTATATTTCAGGGAGTGTTAGATCTAGAGTAGTCTGATAATGTTATACAAGTCTCACAAACATTAAAAATATGTTAGGCGGGACTAAAAAATACATGCAAGAGTCAAGTATTTGCTGTTGTACACAATAGTAAGCATGTTTTATTGCCTGATTCAGCAGTATTACAAATAGGTCGATAACAATACTCTATGAATGTAGGGTTATTGGAGCAGAGTATGGAAACATTATAGACTGCATTCTTTATCTATAGGCCAGGTATCTCACAAGTGACTAGTAGATCGATTGTGTAACCTATTTTCCTCAATTACTATAACCTAGTTTCTGTTAACCATATAGAGCACAAAACTAGAAACGCCCTGTGCAGCCGGCCAGGCATTTAGGGAGTTTTAGAGTAATTCAGCAGGGACTATGACCGCGCAGCAGCCTGTCTCTCATATAACATATTCTCAGATTGCCTCAGTTACAGCATCATAAGTAAAAGTCTACCACACCATTGTCTTTTCTGTAGGGCCGCCGTGGCTTCGTTACCCCTGTCCTAATAATCAGCTAACACTGGAAAATTGATGAATAGGTATGCAAGCAAAGTGTGTTGACACTAGGCTATTCCAGTACACATACAGGACTTAGGGTTTTGAGGGATTTACACAGAATTTCTTGCATACCCGCCCAGGTTACTAGGTCTTAATTATTTTAATCGCATAGGATGCCACTAAGAGCCTAACATCGTACATCAGCTTTCTAATCGGAATTTATCTTGGAGCAAGCCGATGCTGACAAGCTAAGAATAATAATGAGCAGAGTCATCTGTGTTGCGCCACTTAGCTCCTGCATAGCCTGCCGCAAGCACCTCAATTCCAGGATGGCAGGTTACGAAGAGGAAAGTGACTGTTGACAGACTTGTAAGGCATTTCGGCTGGCGGTTTGGTTGGTTGCATGGAACCTTCCAAGTTGGGAGTTATGGATCGCTAGAATAGAGTCGCAGACGCATTTGTATGTCATTACTACAGATTACAGTTCTGTACATCATCATTAAATTACACAGAAGATAATATTCTGTAGAATTGCCAGTTACAGTTTGGCTCCGTTTTGGATCGGTTTCAGAAGAGAAATTGGAAGTATAGACAGTTGTCACCAGTTTTGCATCCCGCCGTAGTACCCTCCTTTACTCCATTTTTTAATATATTGAATGCTACATCCTGTAAATCCTCTTACATGGGTGTCACAGGTAATCATCCACCCCTTTAGGGCGCGCCACTTCTGACGGCCTATGCACTATACATGAATCTACAGAAAATTTGCCCCGGAAAACCTGTATGCAACTTAATAGCCTTCTAGGTTAGTCTTTGATGGTTTGGCAGTCTGGGTATAGCCTCACCATAGTGAAGGAGGCGGCAATATTTGTCTAAGCATTTCAGGAAAATAAGCTTGTTCATTAAGCTACTATATAGAAGGACGAGAAAGCCATATTATTTGATCAACCGGGTGCTCATCCTCTAAGAAATTAGAATCGAACTTTATTTCTACTTAGATTGTCTTATGATGATAATACCTTGCTATGTTGACCACCCTTTTCTTTATTACTTCATGTCGCAGTCCACCTTCCTTCCATGCTCTGGATACCGCCATAAGTCTGTGACTAGTGATATATGCAACTTCCCTCCTTCCCAGTGAGCTTTCGAGTAAGTAGTGGCTCCGCTAGTAACGCACACGGCACTTTATAGACGAGTGATAATGATGCGTTTTGATTGGCCACTCACGCATAATCTTAATGAATTGGACATGACTGGATACTACTGGTAGTTGACTCCTCGAAGGGCAGACAAATGGTGTAGCCGAGTTATATTACCTACCTTAGTTATAGGTTGGGATTAATTAAGGTGAAACCCATGTGGTTAGCTTAGGCTATAACTCAGCCATCGGCCCCCACCTGCCCCATACTCGCACGTTAAAGTTTCCACTAAGTAATTTACCCAATAGAGTACTATCGGCAGATATCGAGGAGATGCCGTCCTAGTTTTTCCAAGGCCAGTGACCGGGTGACCACTGCCCTAATATCAGCAGGCTACCTATCTTATATCGTAGGGTCACACGGTTCGGTACTTCGCACCTACGCTTCCAAGGCCATTTGCTGACGAGAACATTCAGGTGTTTCGGCATCTGAGCCCCTGATCAGCTCTAACGCGCGCAGCGACCAGTCGGTGTTTGTGTTTCTTCGCGCTGACTTTCTCTATAGGCTGCAATAAGCTTTATTAGCCTCAGCCTTCCTCACTCCTGCAATCATGCCGACGTCCTTAATCTAGTCAGGCGCAGAGTGGCGGCCACGATTCGCTAAGATTTTCCGGGGTATTCTTAAATGCCGTAGTGGCAGGGATTCCAGTATTACTTCTGCCGTTATGCCAGGGCCACGCGGCACTGCTCGTGGACATGGAGTTTCCACCCAACGGTCTTGGATATGCCGCCATGAGTCTTGAGGTGTAAGAGAAACGGCACCCTATATGATCTGCCTCTTGGTTGATTGACTTGGCTTCGTCCTGAAATACATCGAGGTATGATGGTAGGGCGGAATTCGTATCTACTCATGCAATGGCCGCCTCAGGAGTCAACAGCTGCCCCAAGGCAATAGCACGATGGGATAGAAGGCCGGTGTTGATTAGCTCTACTCTGCCGTAGGTAGCATCGTCGTGTTGCAGTCGTAATATATCTACGAAGCCCATGATACCATCATCTGCCACAGTCAGCCTGGACACATGTATTTTGGAGTCCCCGCCAGGCTTTTGAGGTATTATATAAACAACCTCCGCGATTGTCAGTCTCGTTTGGCCGATCCTGTTTCGTTGATTGTTCCTCATGCACATAGTATCCTGAATATTCCCACCTTCCCATATTGTACATACACACCTGCTTCTGCCTTGCGCCATCCCCTTCCTTACAAATGCGCTGCCAATGTGCTTGTTTCCTCCCAGCCCTGGCCTCTTTGGTCTCGGCCTGGGCACCCCCCTCGTACTCAGGGTACACGCTGCAGTGGAGCGATGCCTTCGCCGGCTCGGGGGGAACACTTCCCAACTCTAACAATTGGAACATAATAACAGGGAACCCGGGGGTGAATGGCGAGCTGGAGACATACACCAATTCGAACAAGAACGTTCAGCTCAGCGGCGGCAACACTCTGCAGCTAGTGCCTTGGAAAGACAGTTCCGTGTCCGGGGGATGGACATCAGGCCGGCTCGAGAGCAAGTACGTCTTCACACCTAGCGCAGGGAAGCTCACGCTCGCCGAGGCCGATATCCGGTTCGGCAGCAACCCTACCTCTGCCAAGCAGGGAATCTGGCCGGCTTTCTGGATCCTGGGCAACTCGATCCGCTCGGGAACCGCATGGCCTGGGTGCGGTGAACTTGACATCCTCGAGACCATCGATGGCCAGTTGACGGGTTACGGCACCGCCCACTGCAATGTCTATCCGGGCGGTATCTGCAACGAGCCCAATGGCCTTGGGGCAAGCATCGCGATCCCTGATCAGTCGTGGCATACATGGCGCATGATCTGGGACCGCACCCCTTCTACCTGGCAGTCTGAGACCATTAGCTGGTACATGGACGGCCAGTTGTTCCACCAGATCACTGGTTCCCAAATTGGCGACTCGAACGTTTGGGCCACGCTGTGTCATGACCCGCTGTACTTTATCCTCAACGTGGCTGTTGGCGGCTCCTGGGTACGTTTAGAGATTCTTCTTAAATTTTGCACCTTTCCGAATGTCTAGAAGGTGGGAATGCTGACATCTTTATCCCTTATAGCCTGGTTATCCTAACTCAGCCACCCTCGACGGTTACG